GTACTTCAAGTGAACGTAGAGAAGACACAGGTGATGATGATACCCAAACAACACCACCACCACCACCAACAACAACAAGCTCCGATCACCATCAATGGGAGAAAATAAAAGGAAGTAGTCTGTTTCACCTATCTAGGCAGCACCGTTTCAACCACAGACGGCACAAACGAGGACGTTAAAGCAGCCAGGATCGGGAAAGCAAGATAGACTTTCATCAACCTGAAATCAATGTGAAGATCTATTGCAATCAGCATAAAGCATGAATAACATCCGGATTTTCAACACCGATTCAGTCAAGTCATTGCTCCTATATGGTTCAGAAACTTGGAGCGTTACGAAACGGATTTGCAACAAACTACAGTCATTCATTAACAACTGCCTACGCTGGCTCGTCACTGAAGATCAGATGTCCAGAAAGAATAAACATCAAGGAACTCTGGTTGGCTGGCAACGAACCAACCAAGAACCTATCACTCAATAAATATGCAGAAGGAAGTGTAGATGGATTGGACATAAAATGAGAAGACGGAGTGGGAACATCAAGCGCCAGGCCAGTTGCTCGAGTGGAACCCAGATGGGGAACGACGAGTTGGGCTTCGGAGGTGAGGGTGACATTGAGGAGGAGATGGTGTGAGGAAGAAATGAGAGGTTGTGGGCTGTTGTTGAGCGATGTTGAAAAGACTGGAGAGAGGAGAGTGCAATGGCTTTGTGCTACTGAAGCCCTATGTTCAACCAGGAACTCAAGGGAAAAATAATAACAATAATAGTAATAATAATAATAACGTATACACTTGTATTGAGAATCTAAAATACTCGTGCTTCTTGGTAGTCAAATCAGTACTCATAAAGTTGTAAACATGGTCAATTAAATTGTATAGCGAAATTTAAAATTCAGCATAGTTGTCACAAGATGATTTCGAAATATTATGTGTAGTGTTAATCTTAGCACTAAGAATAACCTACCACTCTGTACACAACATGAGGATATGAAACCTTATCAATCTAATGAAAATCTACTCAATAGCCTAGTATAAATTAGTGCACTACCTGACTGTGTTTACAAAAATCGACAGCTGTGGTCGCCTGTTGTAAGTTCGCTCCGATAATCACTTGTTTTTGGCTAGCACTAACTTTAGGTATAAGGAGAGATATTGTCTCATATGGCGTCCACTGAATTCAAACCAACAATGGATACAAATGGATCACATTCTTTTAAGCCAGGAAATAGGAGGTAGTGAAGTCCATCTGTACTCCATTTGTAACCTTAAGATTAAAACATAATCTGGAGCAAATATGACTGACCGACTGACAAATCAATGTAGAACCTGGCATATAAGCGCATCGTCTCAGGTTGTCACACTTCACAGTAGTATACAAAGAGCAAGTGGATAGAAAAAGAGTGATATCAAAGTAGACAAAGTTGTGTGAAACAATAAACAATCTGACGATAACGGTTATTGCAGATATTCAGGTATCAGAAGACATCAGAGTGTAGATAGATCTGCGCCACTGTGAACAATTTCTAGCCATGTCACCAATTACTGATTCTCATCGTCTCAGGGACTTCAAACAGGCAGTCTACATCCCCCCACACGGTTCATACCAACAACAACAGACTTCGTTGACTGGTCTCAGGTATTGGCCTGACCAATCCTGAGCCCTATTCCATGCTAATTCAACTTCCTCAAGTATGACACGTCAAGGTAGAGAGTGGCAAGGTATGCGCAGTATATGCCCACGCCATCTCAGTCAATTAAGGTTCGCAACCTCGTCAACCAACCTGCCTGTCTCACTTGGTATCCTTCCCCCGACTTCAACATTGCTCACATGGTGATTCAATCACGCACAGGCAATGCTATGACCGAAACCCTGCAACTGTTTCCTGTTTTCTACGTTTAACAGCTATATCCGACAGTAGTACAACAGGACAACAAACTTCAGCGCACTATACTCGTCCTCAGATGGATAGCCGGATATCTCACCAGATGGCGCTACACGTGACGTAAGTTGGCAAATGCTAAACGAGCCTTCTGTATCCGAGCTAAAATTTTGTCACCAACAAGCCCGTTCAAGTTGGTGCAACTCCCAAAGTAAGTGAAGTGGTCGACACATTCCAACACTTCACTCCTTATCACTAAACTGGGAGTCATTGCCGATCAGTGCTGGAGCACCATCCTACATTTCATAGGTACGAAACGCATTCCAAACATACTCATATTCCTGCTCATAGCATCCAAAATACCCTGCATTGTGTCACCGTCTTCACCTAGCAGCACAATATCGTCTGGATACTCAAAGCCAACCAGATGACCTCCAGAAAGTAGAACAATTACTGTGAAGTCAGACGTCCTTAAGGCTGGGTCCATTAGTATAGCATATAGTTATAAACGAACAGAAACAGTGGACATCCTGAAGGATACCACCAGTCACCGTCAATTCTGAAGATAACTCTTTATAAGCCATGACATAGCTGTTTGAATTCGAGCAGAAAGATTGAATTTGCGTTATATACTTGCTCGGTACTCCCTTCATAGTCAGACACTGCTACAACACTTCACAGCCGGCTGAGTCAAATGATGCCTTCAAATCAACAGATATGGTAAGTGTCGGCCACTTTCTGGTCGGTATGCCTGTTCAAGAAACTGTTGGAGGATGAAAATATGATCGATGCACCCTCTCCCAGCTCTGTCTGAAACCAACCTGGTTTTCTCGAGCTCCAGTTACGCATAGGATAACTGTGGATCCAACGATCTTGGACACAATATTAGTCCTACTGCTTTACACCGTTTCAGGTTCAATACAGCCTTCTAGACTGCAAGGAGTTGGGCGACCGAAATCTACGTCCCATTCAGGTTGGATTTTGGGCAACTGAAGAGTTACTGAGGGCCAGATGAACCATACTTCAAAGTGCTCTGTCAACGTTCTAGTCGCCTGTCGTGGGAAGTTATCGGTGTCCCATCCTTTTCGGTGATGATTACACTCACTATCGTCTTCTTGCCGGTATTCTTAATAAACCTAAATACTTGTCGTGTTGCCTAACGCTGATGCCTTCTACATGTCTCTCGCTTTCGTCAGCCACCACTGCTCACGACCGTTAAGAAGACTCTTGGTTCAGTTACGTTAAAGTTGCTTTCGAGCTTTGTTGTGGTTAGAACCAACTGGGAATAGTCTTCTCGCGTCAATCAGCTCAGATGATGTCACGGAAATCCGGTGACGCTTGCTAACCATCGGATGTCGGTTACTAATTATCTTTATCGCTGTTTCTAAAGGAGACAATTTATCACATTGAGTCTCCTCAAGATGACCATTTCTGTCACATTCGCATAAATGCTTAGTTAACTCCTCCCGAAATACGTACTTGGAGAACTCGTCTACCAATGGAGTACAGATGGGTTTCACTGATTTCTGTTTCCTGGCTTAAAGGAATGTGATCCATCAGTGTTCATCGTAGGCTTTAAGTCGGTGGATGCTATATGCGACAGTGTCTCTCTCTATGCCTAAAGTTAGTGCTGGCCAGAAACAATTGATTGTCGAGGCGAAATTGCAACAGATAACCACAGTTGTCGGTTTGTTAGCATGGGGTTCCGTAAACACCTCAAAAAAACTCTTTGAGTGGCTCAGAACCTCTACTTGAGCGTCAAAGTCACCTACCATTATGACTACATCTGAACGTGTTGCTTTCTGTAGTAAAACTGGTAACTTTTCATAGAACTCATTATTTGCGTCATCTGAACTAGTCGGTAGGTGTGTGGGCGGCAATTACGAATAGGTCTCGGTTGCTTTCATGATCTAACTTAGTCTTCACAAATCCATTCAGTCAAACAGCACATAAATGACTGTTGAGTGATATCCAGTCGAGGAGTGCGCCTCCTACCCTACAACTCTATGCTATGCCTACACAAGCGAGTTCACGAGATATAGCCATCGGGTCTCCGGATACTCTCAATGTGAATTTTGAAGATTCACTACTATGGTCACGTGACCTCAACTTAATAACCACACTTGGGTGCACCATACGTGTCTCAGAGACACAACATATATCCATGGCTCGAAATTTCAGTTTTGATGAGCGATGCTTGCTGTCCGATTTCGCATAAAGTTCGCACGTTGAAGTCTCCTCCATGAAACCGATGACGGGGTTGTAGTAGGCTAGGAATGAGGTTTCGATGGCTGTGGTCATTGGCAATGGTTGCAGAATGAGGGGTTAGGTAAGGCGTAAGACGTCTCGTATTAGTATCAGGAGGTGAAGGGAAAGGAGGAGACAGAATTGAGGAGGATATCTTATGCTTGATTGGGTCTTCTGAATTACCGGAAGCTTTCAGGAGGTTAACACTTCCTGGCCTCCTACGACATCGAAGGCTGATTCTTCTCGAGGTACATTGGAAGAGTAGATTTGTGTGACCACAGAGCCCATGGAACGTCTGCTTGACGCCGGTCACACACGTCATTTTGGTGATTTTGGTTTTTTATTTTTGAACCCGACTTCGAATCCCTGTTACAAGCATCAAGATGCCATGAAGGGGTGGGTGTGATATTCTGGGGGTCGATCTTTTCTTCCTCCCGCCTCCCATTGGGAGGGTAGCATCAGCGTGACACTGATGGTCATCCAAGGGAAACACCTCACTGCTGTCACGCCCCCAATCCAACTAGCAGCAGTACAACTTCGCCCACAGACCACCATCATTGTGTAGTAATTTACACTACAATGGTAACTGCTCTTCGTCTTATCACTATTGAATAGACCTTCCTAGCATAGCAGGACCTCAAGAGGATAAGTGTTCAACCAGCATATATATAAATACATATATATATACGGCTGTACAGTTTTAGAAAATGATGTTGTCAAAACAGAATTTTCTTCGCTATTCGATGAGCGCGCCTTTCACCATCTAAAAAAATCTCTGAAACTAAATCAATAAAAAAAACCCGATAACTAAACACTTGGATCGTCTAAGACCACTACTATCAAGAACACAGACTTTAGATAGTCAAAGACTTACTTCTTCTAGAGCTGTATCAACATCTGAATTAAACAAAAATCGAGTGGTACTCCCTTCACCGACAGGAGGATGTGAAGTGCATCGAACACTAGACCCACTGAAGTTATATGTTGGAGATGATTGGATTAATTCATTATTAGGTGAAATAACTTCATTCTCAGGAACAGAACCTAATGGTCCAGAAATTGGATAATTAACAGTATAACGCTGGTTGAATCGATGAACTAAAAGTTTATCCGGATTTCCAACAATTTCTGATGAATTTTTCATATCATTACAGCCTGAATTCTCTGATACAGAAGTTTGATTTTCATCATCACACCTGGTAACCGTTTTCATGCCTACAAAGATAATGAGTAATTGTGTGATAGGAAGGCACCTAAATAAAAATCAACATTTTAAGTCATTAGATAATCAAGTTTTAGATTTCAGTTTCACTGTGTAGTCAGGAAAAATCTTATTGGACAATTTATCCTACAGTTGACCAATCAAATAGCATCCTGTAGTAATTCATTCCAGATAGGTAGATAGCCGAAGAATAGAAATATGATGGATATTTTTACGCATTCAAAAGTCAATTTCCGTTTAATATAACACATTTCCTTCGTTTTTTTTTTAATACTTCGAAAGAAAAAAAACTAGTTCAGAACATTTTTAAAAAAATCTTCAAAAGTATGTGAGAGATTAAAACAAGCTGACTCTTGATTTAGGTGTTTCTAAAAACTGTATACAAATGATATATTTCTGTTGAATAAAGTATCTTCGCGATACAGTGAAGTATAACGTTTTGATAGAGAACAGTTGCTATTATTATCCAGTTCAAATGTTTCATTACTTCCTTATGCTGTTTATTACAGTCACTATGACGTACAAAATTCAACTATGAGAAGCCCTTCCATAGCGTGTGAAAGGACATCTACTAGCATGGCTAACAATAGGAGAGATAAAGATGATTGCGAATTCTATCTGGTCCAACCTAGTTGATACAAGTCAAAAATGATGATATTACGTCCATTTCTTAAGTAATCCAAGAGATACTAAACTGAATGTTGGAGGTAATAAGAATTCGCCTTCTTCAAACTGCTGAAGATGTTAAAATAAAAATCATTAAACCTGAGCAAAAACAACTCAAATATTCTGTTATTCTTCCACAACCATTAGTAAAGATGAAATCTATGTACTTTCTGACTGATTGCCTATTATGATCTGTAATTTTAATTTCATTCCAATTATTACTGATAACCCTCTATAACCTACTGATCCATTTTTATACATTAATTAACCGAGATCTTGTCAAATAAGCTATTACACAGTTTTAACCCCATAATTACCTTAATGTACATTCAAACTATACCCATCGTACAAGAAGTGACTGTCGTGGCTCCGTGGTCTGGTGGATAAAACTCTGATGTTTGAAGCAATCGATCCAGTGGGAACAACATTGCCTACTGAGAGGCAAGTACATTCAGTTGACGAGCCCTAAGTAGGACGAAACACATGTCCTGGATTCCACTGCTAGCTATTATCTATCATCAATATACAGATAAGTGTCAAAAATTCACGGAACCGGATTTCCGAAAAAAATACCCAAAGATAATTATGAATTCATTGGTAAAAGATGTAAAGATTCAATGACGACTGAGGAACTTAATGGGTATCCAAGTTACTCCATCAAACTTGCTTTAGTGAAATGTGAGATTAACGTTTTTTTAAAACTTCACCCTTCATAATAAATATCCAAACATTTTTCGGATGGTGCTCAAGCGAAATCGTATTCATCCAAATTCGAAGACACTGAAGCGTCAAGCTTTAAATCGAACTGATGTTCCCAAACTGTTAAGTTGAAAAAGAATATCTCTTTAAGAAGCCATCATCTTCCCGACTCATCGACAGATAAGCGCAAGCGATATAAAGATTACTTCTCTATTGTCTGAGAAAAACAGTCTCAATCTGAAACAGCTAGATAATCTAAAATCAGTTTTAACGAAAGGATAGCTCCTAAAAAACTGATATAGTCTCTAGATGTATCTGTTTCTAAGTGCAAAATATTGGAATCTAGAGGTAGGAGCTTGGTTGCATTGTGTTCTCTGACCTGGGTTGTTTAATCGTGAACCTTTCATCGCCCTTCTAGACGACGTCATCAATACAATGGAGAAGGAGACAAACAACCAACTACCACTCCTGAATGTTCTGGTCAGTAGAACAAATGCAGAGGAGCAAATACACACTGACAAAGACCTCAACTACAGTAGCAACAACCCACAAGATCAGTTGCCTGCAGACTCTATTCACAAGAGCGAGAACATACTGCAGCACAACAACACAGAGAAACAAAGAAAATTACTTGATGTCCATCCTAAAAAAGTGCGGCTACCCACAAAACTTTAACCCGCACAACATCAACTACAAAGTCATCGACAGAAACCAACAAATGCATCATCTTACCATACATAAAGGATATATCAGAAATCACAACAAGATTACTGAAACCACTTGGAATTGGTGTGGCCCCTCATAAACCAAAATATTCCCTCAAAACACCATTATGCAGACTGATCAAAGGATGCAATAACCAAAGAAGACAAACCGAATATCATTTACAAAATCAACTTCAATAACTGTAGTCAACCCTACATTGGACAAAGTGGCTGCCCTCATCGCCTTCGTCTACATGAACACCAATTGGCTATTCAACGTCATGACATCTTATCGCTGCTCATTTCAATGCACGTGGATAACAACTATGGACATGAACTCAATTTCGACAATGTAGAAATTTGGGACAAAGAGAGGAGGCACAAGGAGTATCAGAGATTTCCTAGAAGCTTGGCATTCACTTCAGTCACTCACTCAGTCAGTCAGCAATCAACAGATGTATAGACATAGACCTGGTCTATCAACCAATAAGAAAGATGATAAACAACAGAAAGGTGAGAGGTGAAGCAGAGGAACAGGCAACAGGAAGATCTATGCAGTCAGTCAATGACACAACAATCAAAGGGAACAACCAATCATACACCACTTCGTCAAGGTAAGCTACTTAATACTGACGGAGAGATATTGACAGCTCACTTCGTACTGAAGATAGTGCTGATGATGTCGCTGTCTAGAAGGACGATGAAAGTTTCATGATTAAACAACCCAGGTCAGAGAAGACAATATAATCAAGACCATTCACCTGAGCTACAAATATTCTGCACTATTTCAGAGGTAGGACCTGATAAAACTTCACCAAAATTACCTAATCGCTCAAATGGTTGTCTTTTCAACTGTATAAACTGTATAAAACAAATTTCAGCTCTTGAGAGAGAACAGTACTCATTGTTTATATTATTATTGGTTTTCAGCTATTGGAGTTAGTCAATTGTATCCACAAAGATTATCCTTAATTTCAGTATGTTTATATTCGAATTAAAAAGGGTTAAGTCCCTTTTAGAATTTATTGAATACAAAAACAATTTTCAACGAACAGTATGTTTTCAGCGATTTCATTCTCAAAGCTATCCCATGTGCAAATTTATGCTCTTTATCTCCTTATGTTAGGGTTTGATAGTTAACAGTAGTTTGTTGAATATGCAGCGAAAATGATGTCAGTACATGAACTGTTATTAAGATCCAAAACTGTGATGAATAATGAAGAAATTCACCTATCTAGGCAGCACTATTTCAACTACAGGCGGTATAGACGAGGATGACAAAGCAGCCAGGATCCGAAAAACAGCAAAACAGACGTTCATTAACCTGAAACTAGTGTGGAGATCTATTGCAGTCAGCATAAAGCATAAACAATATCCGGATTTTCAACATCAATTCAGTCAAGTCAGTGTTTCCATATGATGGTTGGGAGACTTTGTGCATTACGAAAGGGATTTGCAACAAATTACAGACATTCATCAACAACTGCCTACGCTGACTCTTTACTAAAGCTCAGATGGCCACAATAGTAAGAACAAGCAACAAGGAACTCTGCCTGGCAACGAACCAACTAAGAACCTATCACTCAACAAATATGCAGAAGGAAGTAGAGATGGATTGGGCATACACTGAGAAAACCGGCTGGGGACATCACGCCCCAGACTAGGTCTTCGAGTGGAATCCAGATGGGAAACGACGAGTTGAGCGTCCGAGGCGAGGGTGACATAGAAGAGGAGATGGTGTGAGGAAGAAATCAGAACTTCTGGGCTGTCGTGGAACCAGGATCGAAAGATTTCGGAGAACAGAGTGTACTGGAGACGTGCTACTGAAGCCCTATGTTCCACTAGGAACCAAAGGGATAAATAATAATAATAATAATAGTAATAATAATAATAATATAATAACTTAAGTTATTATAAAGGATACCAGTTAAGTAACATAGTAACATATTTAGAAACTGAATTGTCATCGAAAAGTGTATAGAAACAAGAATGAATATTAAATTTCATACATTTAATTCCCTTCACAAATTGCGTCATTTCTATTACATGTGTGGGTGTTGATTCGATGAATCGAGATTCAGTAATCAACTAGTCTCTTAAGTAAAGTGGTTTCGGCCCACCCTATTGTGTGTTAATGCATGCACTGCAATAGCCGAGTCACTTTCTAGATTATCAAAGATTCGGATCAGTCATTGTATATTTGCCTGAATTCCAATGTTCCACTAATCTAACTGATCCCCACCAACCAGGCTAGTTTCACCTATGTACTTGACTTAACTCACAATCATTACATGGAATTTGATAGATCAGATTATTTTGCTGAATTAGTTCTATCGAAGCCTTAAGCCAGTCAACAAAGCTTATCTTTGAGTGAGTTTGTAAGTTTAAATGCCACCCTTATTCCAGATTTGTTGAGGATCCTACCCAAAGTTTCTGATGTACCTTCGTTATAGGGTAACACAATGGAGGCTGTGAACTCCTTTTTACTCGTGTTGTGGTCATTGGTCGCACTCGTGTGACTGTAATTTTTTCGTTTTTTATGTGTCCGTAAGAATTTCCTGAGAAACTGTGGAGGATAATTATTAACTATTAGAGCTTCTTTTACGTGTTTCAAGGCCTCGTTTAAGTTCTTGAACTGATTAGTCAGTTTTCTAGCTCTGTCACTTAGACATTTGACTACGCCTGTTGTAACTGACATTGGATGGTATGATTTGAAGTCTAGATACCTGTTGGAATGCGCTAGTTTTCTGTAGACAGTAGTATCGAAGCCACCGTCCGTTCTTCGTTTTATTCTGCAATCCAGTATAAGTAATTCTCCTTGTTAATTTTCTACCCCGTAAGTGAATTCGATTCCGTTTATTACTGAGTTTATAGGTATGAGGAAGTTGTCGATGTGTTCCGATTTCAACACAGTAAATTTGTCATCCATATATCGTGACCATATTTTCGATACAGGACTAAACATTTGTAAAGCCATGTTGTCCCAACTATCCATAAGTATACCCCCTACGATTGGGGATACTGGTGATCCTATTGCTACTCCTTCTGTTTGTCTGTATATTTTGTACTGAAACTTGAAGACTGTGGAGGTCAGGCATAACTGTATGCCTAATATAATCTCATCAACCGATATCTTAGTTCTGTGAGTAAGTTCTGAGTCAATATTTAGTTGACTTTTGACAGCCTACAGTGGCATATTCATTGGTATTTTACTATACAGACTTGTTGCATAGAAACGAACCGTTTTTTCATCGTCTTCTATATGTAGGTCATTAAGCCTTAGTTTTAACTCGTAAGAGTTTACTAGTCTGGAATTTGAAAGGTTCCCAATAAGATATAATGTCGGTGCTAAGTACTTTGATAGTTCATACGTTGGGTGTATTTCTGAAGTCGACTATCGGTCTAATGGGATAACCTGGTTTATAAACCTTAATAGTGCCACAAATTCTACTAGCCATTCTCTAACTATTCTGTAATATAAAGTCGCTATCTGGTTCATCCACTTGATTATTCAAGTATTCACATTACTTAAGAAGTGAACAGTATCATACTATACTACACAAAAGCCGCGGAAAAAAGTCCGCTATCAATTATACTACTTTATGAATCCACAAGTAACTAATAAACTATGTTGATTTTTCTATTTGGAGGTTTGCCGTGGCTTATTTATTGATTTCAGGTTGGTATCGTGAAAGAAGATAGGAAATAGGAGCCGACTAAATGATTCACTGGTAGTATGCTTTTCAGGGAACCTGGGTTCGACCCTTTGTGGGGTGGGGGCTTGGGTGAGCACTTCTGGGGGGGTCCCATACTAGGATGAAATATCTGTCAAGTATTTCAAGGATCCCACTGTTTCTCCAACTGATGTCAATCTGATATTCAATTTTTTGCAAATTTGTTAATTATATCCATTTAGGATCATTATAGATGGTCTATTACGGTTTCAAGCCCGAGAAAACCAGGCAGGCTTTAGACCTGGTTGCGAGTGTATAGACCAAATATTCACACTGCGCCACGTCCTGGAAAATCGGCATGCTTACAGACGCCCGACAATAGGTGTGTTTCTCGATCTGAAGGCGGCATTTGACTCCGTTGATCGAGAAGTCTTATGGCAATGCCTGTCACTGAAAGGCGTGCCTAGTAAGTACATCACCTTATTGAAAGGTCTTTACTCGAACACTTGTGGGTGTGTTAGAGCCTATGGCGAGTTGTCCAGGGAGCTATACTCATCAAGTGGTGTCCGTCAAGGATGCCCAATATCCCCATTCTTATTTAATTTTATCATAGATATTCTTATGCAGGTTTCCCTTTCGTCACCTAATTACACAGACGTTGACCCAATCACAGGTGAATTCTCTTTACATCTAGAATATGCAGATGACATAGTCCTGTTAGGTGAAGACGCTGACAAGATGCAGAGTCTTCTGAACACTTTGAGTGGAATTTTTGCTTCAGGACTGGTCTTCAGCAGTACCGCGGCTAACAATAGAGAGTGAAGTGGTTGAGTGTGTTGACCACTTCACCTACCTTGGAAGTAGGATCAACCCCGGTGGGTTAGTTGCCGATGAGATTTCTGCACGGATACAAAAGGCTCGATTGGCTTTTGCCAATTTACGCCACCTATGGCGCCGCCGTGATATTCGTTTGTCTATTAAGGGTCGCGTGTACTGCACACCAGTCCGCTCTGTTCTACTGTATGGCTAGGAAACATGGCCATTGAAAGTGGAAGATATAAAAAGGCTTCAGGTGTTTGACCACCGTTGCCTTCGTAGTATAGGACGTATTCCATGGTGTCACCATGTGAGTAATGTGGAAGTTAGGTGTAGAGTTTTAGGGAGAAGAGGTAGGTCAGTTGACGAGGTTGTGAACCTTCATCGACTGAGATGGCTGGTTGGGACACGTACTACGTATGCCTAGTCACCGATTGCCTCGTCACACAATGTTGGTTGAGGTGGGTCCAGGCTGGAAAAAGACCCGAGGTGGCCAGACTAAAACATGGCACCAATGTATGAAGTCTCTGACTGTTGGTTTAAGCCATGTAGGACGATGCAGACTGGGTGGTTGGGGTCCTCAGGACAATAGGAACCAGTGGTTGGAGACTGACTCTAGGTGATAGTGGCTCAGAACCGATGTCAGTGGCGCAGATGTATACACACATTATCCTCATCTTAACAACGCTATACCGAATCTCACCATTTTGTCACTCCTTTTTTCTTTCTTTTGATTGCATTCACTTATCTTCATCTTTCACCTCACTACCTTTCTACTTGATGTACTGATATGAGGTGTGGCAACTTGGACCGTTACGCAGTAATGCCTGGTCCTATGTTAATAATGATGATGATTACGGTTTCTCTTGGTTACATTGTTAATTAAGTCTAGTAATTATAATAACAGAGCTTACCTTTATCCAAAATGATAGGTGTTGACGACTTGTCATCATCAATTTTGGCTTTATTTAACATTTCTGATTGATTCATTTGATCTGTAGTTATAACAGTATTTACAGACTCTGATAAATATCTTATATTTTTATCATTGATATCACAAAGAATTTGTTCATTTAAACTTTCAGAAGGATAATTCCAATTTAACAGACTACCATTATCTGGTATAGTTTTATTATTCATCTCATTATCTTCATTCTCTTCACTATCATCATCTACATTATCTAAATTATTTAAACTTCCATCACTTGGTGTACAACCACTATGTTTAGAGATATCTATATTCATTTCATCTCTATCACCTTCATCATTATTATTATTATTATTATTACATGTGACAAGATGTAAAAGAGCAGCTTTTGGTACAATATATAAATGAGGAATAAGACCACGTGTACACTGACAATCTGATGCTAATTGTCCTTCCCACCAATGTTGACTTAATTGACGATAAAGATATATTTCATCACCTTGACAAAATGATAATTCTCTTTCACTAGATCCTGTAAAATCAGCTCGAGCAATAGCCAATGTATACGCTGGTTCAGAGTCTATTCAATACACAAAATAAATAAATTAATTAATTAACAGATATTTAAATGGTGGTGTATTAGAGTTTCAATAAAAAATTAATAAACATCTATCATCTATCATCAAGTATACATTGTAGTGCTTGATAGTATAGTAGAACTTTTATAGTATAAACTTGATCACTTAAGAAAGAGGATAAAGATTCACTGAATTCAATATACAGTTAATGTGTAGATATATCTATGCCCAATCAGATTTATTCTAAACCATATCACCTGATACATTATCAAACCTGAAAAATTCTAGTGCCATATGAAACCCAACTGATAAGTTTACATTTCTGTATACACTATAGGCCAACAGTTAAAGACTATAGAGACTGGGTGATATTATTGCCTAAATCTGATAGCCTATAAGCTTTTTGTTAGGCTTAACCTACTTCATCTTAAATTGTATAACGAGGCATACTTAACACATATCTCATCCAACTAATTAACCGATTTTACTCTCCTCCTTAAAACTCTACACCCCTGACCTCTAGTTTACTGATGCATTGACATCACGACAGACGATTGAAGCTTCTTCATATCTCCTACCTTTAATGGTCATTTTTCACAATTATATAGCAGAACAGATCGAACTGTAGTGCAGTGCAGTACACTCGACCCTCAATATACAATCACATATATATATATATATATATATATATATATATATATATATATATATATATGCCTATCAATGTATGACATACTGAGTAATAATAAGTTTTCTTGCATAATTCTTGTCATTTATGTGTGAAAAGTCTTGTTCCTTCAATTGAAGTAACACAACTCCAGTAACTTTCATGATGGACAAGAATTTAAAGGATATAAAATGCCAAGGTTTATTTAACATACACTCCACAATCTATATCAGAATCTATTCAGTCAATTCAAATTGAGTCGAAGAATATTCATCATGGAGTGACATCAACTGGAGAATCAGTGAAAATCTGAGAGTACTGAACAGCTGCTTCGTTCGACTAGTATGGGACTCCTCAGCAGTATGCATCCATGACTTTACCAGGGGTCGAACTGAGGACCTTCAGATTTCAAGGGGAACGTATTAATCATTTAACCACTGGGTCTGAATTCAATGGTTTACAGTTGCCAAATTCCATGAATTCAAGATATGGCACAACTATCCACCAAGGTCTTCAGTTAGCATTCGCTTCCCTTCCGAGTGGTTGACCTCATAGGTCAAGGTTTCTCATTAGAACTTCGGGATATCCATCTGAAAGTATGTCATTTATATGAGCACTATGTGTGTAAGTAATGTATTTTGAGGTAGCGTACATCACCTAATCCAGTATAATACAGATAGACTAACTTACCTTCACTATCAGATATAGACTGTGCATCTTCACCAAATACATAATCATCATCTCCGACAGTTTCAGCTTCATCATTCATATGAGACACTTGCTTGGATGATGTATCATTATCGATTAGACTGCTATTCAAAGAAAACAAGATGATGATAAAGCCAAGAAGTTATTGATCATGGCAATAATAACAAACTATTATGCATACATTATAGGATTACAAGTAAAAAACAGAACCTGATACCCGTTGGACAAGAAGTGGCCCTCATCCTCTAGTGACCTAGTGGATAATGTTTTGGTGTTTGAAGTGATAGGTACGCCAGTTTGACTCTCAATGACGGTACCATCCTCTTATTGAGGTAAAGGTATATATATAATTGATAAGTTGATCCCCAAAAGGACGAAACGAACATTCTGAATTCCAATACCTGTCAACAGGATGAATATAATAATACACTTAACCTTTTAACTAACGAGTCAGTGCTCTCACCTCGAAGAACATTTTCATCTCAGTAGTACAGTTTAACTGAAAAATTTTTAAACAAAAGATCATAGCTACTAAATCAATGATTGTAGACCTCTAGATGACAGACTTCAGAACCAATCTCTCAATGGTATATACGCATCCATACATTACATCAACCTTGATTGAGTTTCAGCTTGTTGATTATCAGGCGCTTTCAATCATGGTGGATTTCATTCGTACAACTTCAAATTCATCTAATGAAACTGGTAGTAAACAATAAAACAACTAACCGCTATTGAAAAAATAACCCAAAAATGTAGTGATACATTCGAAGTTTTCTGTTACTCTGCATAACAATTCATACACACACACACACACACACACACACACACACACACACACACACACACACACACACACACAACATTGAAAGTCATAAACTTTTAACTTTATAAAAATTCTGGAGAATAGGTTATGTTTTATTGGTAACGGCGTGTAGGTTGTTGACACTTCCTGGTCGCCCACACCATGGAAGGTTAGTTCTTCTTGAAATACCTGAAAGAGGAAACGTTTGTGTAACACACTCTTTTGAGGGTTGTTGTTTTGAGGTTTGGACTTACGAACGCTACACCGAAAGATCATTGAAGCAGGAAAAAGTGCACCATTTTGGGGACCGATCTTTTCTAAATCCACCCCCCTCCTTCTCCTTTCATTGGGAAGGCAGCATCAGCGTGATACTGCTGTCACTCCCCATCCAGCGAGTAGTACATCTTCACCTTCAATCCTCCATAATAGTGTAGCAATTTACATTATCAAATAGACCTTCCTATCATGACAAGATCTCAAGGGAAAAAGCATTCACTACAAGCTGTATAACAGGACATTGACAATCAATCAAGAAGCATGATAAATAATGCTTTGTCTTGTGCATAGCTCACCTAGACGTAAACAAGCAACTAATAATGTCTTTTAAAGCCTTGTATATACTTTATATTGAGTATGCTAAACTTTCAATTACTTATTCAAATTAATAATAACTATCATCTGAGATAGCCGTGAATTAGTAGATTTGTATTGATACTAGGTGATGATTGAAGATGAAGTGAAAATTTGGACCACAGCTGGATTCGAAATAACGATCAACAGGTTTTCAGCTCGATGCTCTACCAACTGAGCTAACTTTGATGCATTGATTGGTCACGGGAGTGCAACCAATTTCATGTTGTCTAGTCCTGAGTGCAGACTGAATCCTTTCGATCATATTTGCAATGTGACAACCAAGCTAGGAAGCTCAGCATCGCGGTGCACATTAGTAGATGTTAGTTGGTTAGAGGCAATCGGTAGGAAGCCCTGACTACAACACTGGATGACGCGGGTTCGAATCTCAGACGGAACATCAGTTCCGTCGAGGTTGCAGATACGCCTTGCTGATGAGTGCTAAAAAGCACGAAACCTAGGTCGAACAGGGCTTCCTGCCGATTGTATCCAACCAACTAACATGAACTAACTTTGAGGTCAACTGGGTCAATGAGTCACGATAGTCATTTCTTGTGCAAAGGAGATAGTTTATAACGTTGTTGTTTGTATTATCCGATTGTTGATTGAACTGATTTCATCGATCTGTACTGATATTTAGGCAGGCTCCTGCGTACATACCTTCATATTTCCTGCTAAGCGAAACCCATCAATACTATTAAGGCATTCGTGCAAAAAGTTATACATCAATAGACACTGATCAATTCGGTTTAATCGTCATTTATTTACATCAAGTGGTAGACCATCAGGCTGGAAACACTGTGGTCCTTGGTTCGAATCCTACCGCCAAGTTCTTTTCAAGTTTTAATCAACTGATGAAACAATATGTCATCGGTTTTCATATTCATTATAATATCTACAAAAGGTTAGTTGTATTAATTAATAAGGTCAGAAGTTTGAGGGGGTTGTGAGGATTTGGAAGTATTTCAAGCACTGAATAGCTGTTTCGTTCGCCTAGTATGGGACTCCTCAGCAGTGCACACCCACGAACCCGCCAGCCAGGGATCGAACCCGCAATCTTCAGGTTCCATGGCCAGCACGTTACCATTAAGCTAGCCACTGGGTCAGAATCCAATGGTCCATATTTCCAACCACCGACCACCCAGTGGTCGTGGGTGTGCACTGCTGAAGAGTCCCATACTAGTTGGACGAAACAGCTGTCCAGTGCTCCCAGGTTTCCTTTGTTCCTCCAACTGATGTCAGTCTACGATGAAATAACAACTTGAAAAGGTCAGAAGTATTTCAACATAACAATTGAAATCAATACCTCAAAAACTGATATATATTTCAGGGGAATGCATAAGATCTGAAAGTATACTAGACAAGACATTTCATGGCTAGGAAGAATTTATGTCTTGGAAATGCTAACTTTTGCTATGAATATGTTCAAATTTATACTTTTTTTTGAGATGAATGGGGATTTTTTTTATTTTAGAAGTAGTATTCATCACGAAGTGACAACAGTTGGGGGAACCATTAAAAATCTAGGAGTACTGGATAGCTGTTTCGTCCAACTAGTATAGGACTCCTCAGCAGTGAAGTCAACCAGTTGGAAGTGAAGTGGATGCTAACTGAAGACATTGGGTGATAGTCACGCTATGTGATGAATTGATAGAAGTTGGAAATTATAAACCATTGGAAATTGACCCGTTCGCGTTCACTATGAAACCTGAATATCTTGAGTTCCATCCCTAACCAAATCGTGGGTGAGTACTGCTCAAGAGTCCTATACTAGTCAGACAAGACAGCTGTTCAGTACTCCCAGATTTTCAATAGTTCCCCAATTGATGTCAATCCATGATGAATACTACTTCTATTATATCATTTATTTGAAAATAAAATGATGTATAATATATTACCATATATTCAAGTGAACATACCCAATACTTAAAGTTTTAACAGACTCCTCATTCGATAATATACCTTTATTATGTACAATATTATCTGTATGTGTAGATGATTGATACTTGACTAGATTTGATTCATCAATTGATGATTTAGGAATGATATGAAAAGTTTGCTTCTTTGATAATGATGATGATGATGGTGATGATGATGATCGTAATAAATGATCATTCATCTTCTTAGTTGTATTATTGTCTGAATTGATTTCTGCAACACTATTATTATTATTATTACTATTATTATTATTATCACTATTATCATTATTATTATTTGATGAAAGTGATAACCGATGTGAATTTAAACTATCAACAGATTTATGAATATCTTTATACTTGTTATTATTCTTATGATATACTGGTCCAGGTAGCATATGATCAAATATTACTAAATGATGTATAATAAATGTTTTAATGAGATCAATTACGCTAGGTTGATAATGTACTTGATTATATTCACTTGGGACAGGCATTAAAGTTGGACCAAAGCATATTGCTAAATTGTAAGCATCCATCATATTTTCATTAGAATATTCAGATACACTAGATTATTAGAAATAAAAATATAAAAAAAAAATAAAGAGAAAGGGATTAGAGCAAAAAAAAGAGAAAAAACGAAAAATCATTATGTTATTGCTTGTATTATATCGTCGTTGATTCAACTGAGTTGATCCATTTCCATTGGTATATGGGCTTCTGTGCAGATGCCTCGCTATTGCCTTTGTGTTTTAATTATATGTATAGTATCCGTCATATAAGAAGTGGCTATTGTGACTCGGTAGTCTAGTGAACAACACTCTGGAGTTTGAAGCGATCTGTCGCGGGTTCGAATCCCAGTAGGAACAACATCCCTCACTAGGAGGTAGGTACATCCGGCTGACGAGTCCCAAATAGGATAAAATGTACGTCTTGTAGTCCACTGCTAGCCACTATCCATCATTGCTATATAATTAAGAACACACTTAATATCGAGGCATCCGCATAGCGCACAATGTGCCAATACAGACCGATCACTTCAGTCCCATAAACGACGGTATAATACAAGCATAAGAAGTAGCTATCGTGACTCGGTAGTCTAGTGAACAACACTCTGGAGTTTGAAGCGATCGGCCGCGGGTTCGAATCCCGGCAGGAACAACATCACTCACTGGGAGGCAAGTTCATCCAGATGACGAGTTCCAAATAGGACGAATTCGGCATCCTAGATTCTCCTGCCAGTCACTATCTATCATTACAAAGATTCACTGAACCTAGAATAGTGTAAGTCCTGGGTGAAATTTAAATCGAGCAGGCGTAAATAAAATCATAATGTAAGATGTTCAATAATAATATTAATGATAGGTAGTGGCTAACAGTAGAATCGAGGATAAACGTTTCTTCTCGTTTGTGACTCATCAGCTACATATGTACTTGCGCCCCCTGCTTGTGGGTGATGTTATTCCGATTGCTTCAAACATCAAAGCGTTATCCACTACGCCACAAAGTTACTTCTTGTTCCAAGGGGATAGTCTACCTGTATTATCCTATAGTTGATTGGACAAAACTAATCAGTCTCTATTTAGATACGAGCTCCTCGGTGAATACTTTGATATTACTCATTGTGTTAGTTTTATAGTAAGGATGAATTATGGGCTAGCAGGAAATATGAAGGTGGCGGATAACGCTTAGGTATTTAAAGCGATTATCCCCTGGGTACGAGTCATAGTTGGAACAATTTCATTTACTATGAAGCAGGTATATCCATCAAACGAGTCGATCCCAAATAGGATGAAACAACCATCTTCGATTCCACTGCTAACCACTATCCATTATTACTACTATCAAATAGTCAGCTAGTTAGATCTGATTACATTCAAAGGATGATAAACCAATCATAATCACCGGCAGTATAGTCAAAAAAGAAAAAATATACACTTAGTATTTGGACACTTCACACACACACACACACACACACACACACACACACACACACACACACACACACACACACACACACACACAAAGTTACGTAACCTTGAATTCAGTTAAAAACATACAATCACCAGATACCTCTTAATAAAAAGCATCTATACAACAAGTTAATGTACATAATACTTTCAATTTTATGCAAAACAATGAGATAGTAGATTCACATAGTACAATATATAAACAAAACTGTGCATGTAGCATTTCAGTTACATATCTAAGACCAAAGAACAGTATGACGTGATGTACAGTACTTTATATGATACTTTAAAGTAAACAAATCATTTGCTTCTGTATTGAATACCTGAAGTCATTCGCATTTCACTTTATATATCATCCATTATTATCTTGAAGATCAATAGAATTTACCATCTACCCAATAAACATTATATTATGTTTGTATAACCGTAATATAGGAGTAAAATCTAGGCAATATGTTGCAACTAGTTTTCATATCCCATTGTTTATTTGAGTAATATATAACGCGCACAGTATGATACAGTATTAGTTACCGGATGACATTTCTAGTAGAATTTTATTGCTCTCCATGTACACATGGAAACTGATAGAGGAGAGAGAGGAAGATGGTAAAGCAGAAGATGAATCAGTGCAGTGTAGGGATGAACAACAAAAAAAGGAACTGGATATAACATTTAAAATACTGAACAAAGAAGTGAAGAAGAGTGTACAGAAAGATAAAAGACAGTTCGACGACACACTTTCAAAACTGAAGCAGAATAGGTTGCAGGTGTAGGAGAGACCTGACAATATTGTATCAAATAACCAGGCTAATCATTATCATCAATATCAACATGGGACCACGCATTACTGTGTAACAATCCGAGTTGCTACACCTCATATCACCACATCAAGTAAACAAGGCAATAAGGCGCAAGATGAAGATAAGAAAATTCAGTCAAAACGAATATAAAATACGAGAAGAAAGAAAGGTAGAATGAGAAAATGATGAGATACGGTATAGCGTCGTTAAGATGAGGATAATGTGCTTATAAATCTGCACCACTGATACCGGCTCTGAGCCATATCACCTACAATCAGTCTCCAACCACTGGTTCCTCTTGTCCCCCGGACCCCAACCGACCAGTCTGCATGGCCCCACATGGCTCAAACCAACAGTCAAAGACATTATATATTGGTGCCATGTGACCAGGCTACTATCTGGGAAGAGATCAACACAGATGAAACCAATGAAAAACAGTAAAGGAAACTTAGTTAGCAAAGAGGAGAAACAAAAGAAACGATGGACTGATCACTTCAAAAAATTCTTGAAACGATCACCACCTGCAACTTGTCCAGAAATACCACCAGCAGCCCAGGCACAAAATTATCAGTTAACACAGACCCTCTGACAAAAGCAGAAGTTCAGAACTCCATAAAATTGCCGAAATCCGGGAAATCAGCAGGATCAGATGGAATTCCTTCAAAAGCACTGAGAACAGACGCAGAGGCATCGGGGGACATGTTTCCAACGATGTTGTAGAAGGTTTGGAAGGAAAAGAGGAAAAGTACCTGGTGATTGAAAGAAGGGCTACCTTCTCAAACTTCTAAACAAAGGCGATCTAAGTCTTTGCAGCAACTGGCACGGAATAATGCTCCACCCTTGTCCACCCCAAGCAAAGTGTTAAGCCGCATAGTCCTAGATAGACCAAAACATACACTGGATTCAAAATTACAACCGGAACAGTCGAGCTGGTTTCAGGAATAACAAACCATGTGCAGATCAAATTGCAAAGCTACGCTATGCATCATCATACAACACAGCATACAATGGTGATCAACCCTACCTGTACCTCAACTTCGACTGTGAAAAGGCCTTCGATAGCGTCGACTGAGAAGTAATCTGACAGCTGCTTCAACACTACGGTTTCAGTGCCACAAACCTTTATCAGCCTCATTCAACAGCTATATGCTCTAAATGATGCTACATGCCAAGTGATTCACAAGGAAAAGCTCAGTGATGCCTTTGACGTGAAGTGAAGACAGGAGTAAGACGAAGTCGCTAACTATCAAAGATGATCTTCATGACTGTGGTGGACTGGATCATGCAACAAACTGTGACGAGCGAGAAGGGGGGATACGCGGTTTGATCGATGAAAAGACCCTACACGATTTGGATCTCACCGATCATGATTTATGTCTATTGCCTTGTCGCATAAGCTCGAGGATCTATAGGCGAAAACTAACAAGTTGACAGAAGAGGTAGCGAGGACAGGACTCCAGAAGAACGTAGAGAAGACAGAGGTGATGAAGATATCCAACCAACCAACCAACAACAACAACAACAAGCAGCAATCACCATCAACGAAACAAATCTAAAGGAAGCTGTCTTTTTCACTTACCCACGCAGCATCGTTTCAACTACAGACGGCGGCACAGGCACACATGATGATGTCAAAGCCAGTCAGCCAGCATCGGAAAGACAGTAAGACAGGCCTTTCTTCCTTTATTAATCTAAAATCAATCAGTGCGGAGATCTACTCCACTCCATTCAGCATAAATAACAACATCCGGATTCTAAACACAAATGTCAGTCAAGTCAGTGCTTCTGTGTGATGCATGAGAGACTTGGTGCGTTTCAAAAAGTATTTCCAACAAACTACAGACATACGTCATCAACACCTCTCACCCATGCTCACTCCATACTCAAGATCAGATCAGAAGGCCAGAAAGAATAAGCAATAAGGAATTCTGGATGGCCTGGCAACGAATCAACCAATCAACAACCTATCGCCCCAATAAATATACACAAGGAGAAAGTGGAGATGGATTCGATTGGATTGGACATACACTGAGAAGATCGTCCGAGGACATAATGCGTCACGTCACGTCCCTCGAGTAGAATCCAAATGGGAAACGACGAGTTGGGTATCCGAGTGTGATGTGCAGTAGACGGTGTGAGGAAGAAATGAAAGCTTCTGGGTAGTCATGGAACTAGGTTGAAAAGACTGGAGAGAAGAGAGTGGAACTGTGACGTGCTACAGAGGCGCTATTTTCCCCTACAAACCCAAAGGAAAAATAATAATAATAACAGTCAAACAATTCATACATTGATGTCATGTTTTAGTACGGTCGCCAGGAGCCTTTTTCCAGCCTCAAACTACTTCGGATAGCATTATGCAAAGAGGCAGACGGCAACTGGACATACGTAACACATGTCCCTGATAGCCAGCCATCTCAGTCGATCAAGGTTCACAACCACATCAACTGACTACTACTACTTACCTCTACATCTTCTCACTCCCTAAAATTCTACACCTACATCTGACTTATGCGTTACTCACATGGCGACACCACAGAACACGGACCACACTATACTACAAAGGCAACGGTGGTCAAACAACACCTGAAGCCTTCTCATGTCTTCCACCTTCAATGACCATGTTTCTTAGCCATACAGTAGAACAGAGAGGACTGTTGTGCAGTACACGCGATCCTTAATAGACAATCGGATATCAAGGCGGCGCCACAGATGGTGTAAGTTGGCAAAAGCCAGCTCAAATTACAGTATACTTATACATGAGTATCTATCTACTAACTGAGTTACAGATTTACAGTGA